ATTTTTTACTGTTACTGTGCATTTATTTAGAATGACTGATCGTAATTTTAGTATTCTTTACAATTTTTTAATGAATTGTATCATATCGACTCTGAAATATGATATTCATTATGATGTTTAGGCATGTGTGAACAAGTAGTATGCACAAATATTTATATATGTGCATAAGTAGGTTTTAGGAATAACAGTAGGTAACTGCTTGTTTGCTAGTAAAGCTCATAAAAAGTGCTCTTTAATGAGGCATATTACCTATCCTAGACTTAGCCAGAGTGATTATTGTCTAAAGGACTTTCCATTCGATACTGTTATCTTGACCGTATTATTGTAACACTGTAGTAATATTGCTACAGTGTTCACGTACATGCTACTCACGTCCAGCTTTTTTTTTTTTTTTTTTTTTAAGATTCGCGAGGCAGAGCCTCGCCCGGGCTATGCCTATTTGGGGAGCCCGGTCACGTCCAGCTCCTATGCACAAAGGAAATAGCCAGTCGCTGGGCCTTCCATGGAGTTGGTGACCGTTGGAGGCGTGGCAATAAGGCAACCATAGCTTTCCATTGGTTGTTACGTCTAGCTGGCTGACTGCTGATTGGTCAATCGACCATCGATTGTGATTTGCGAAGTTCTAGCTTCGCCCGGGCCTTCGGCTATGGCCCGGCCTGTGTCAGCTTTTTAGGGCTGACTCATTTCGATCTATGGCACTCGGTGCTTACCGTGGCGGTGGGATTGCCAGCATCGCAAAGTCTCTTTACCAGCACGGCGGCTGTTGTCGGGGGTCCCTGTCTCAGGAATTGTGTGTGTACACAATTCTCTAAGTAATGTGTAAGTGTGGCGTTCGGCTCGCCGCAATGCATGCAACACCTCTCTTCATGGACAATGGTCTCAATTATCTGCCATTTACAGTGGTAACCTAGGCGCATTCTGTGGAGAATGACTTCGGTTTGTCTGTTTTTCAACTCAGAGTGCCAGAGGTTCATAGCCCGTTGCTTCTGAATACCATCTGGCCGAGGGGGAGGATCTCGTTGCCTCTCTGTGAAGCTGCAGGAGGAAGAAGTTGGCAACACCAGTACTCTTCATCCGAAGTAAATTACGGCTAGGTGCAATGATCATGGGACTAGGGGCATACCCCTGCCAGAGACTGCTAGTCTGTCAGCAAGTTCGTTCCCTCTGATGCCAATATGGCTAGGGACCCAGTTGAGAATGATTCTTCTACCCTGAGCCAGTATTCTTTGGGCTATTGTCAGTATTGTGGTCAGGAGGTAGATATTGTCTTTGGGTGAGCTGAGCTTGAGAGGGTCAATGGCTGCCCTAGAGTCAGTGTGTATGACTACGTGTCCTCCCATTGGGGACGCGTGGGCTAGGGCTCCCATGATCGCAACGGCCTCTGCCTGTAGCGAGGAGGCGT